GATGAATGTGATAACAGGATATTTAGAAAACGATTGGTTGGATAGAATCAATGTGGATTTCTGATGGGGAGATCATGTTTGACAAAAACAGAAATTGCTGGCGAAACTCAGCAGGTCAGGCAGCATCTGTTTGAAGAAAGTGGAGTTAATATTTCGAGTTTGGTGACTCTTCTTCAGAAACTTGAAACGTTAACTCTGTTCTCTTCTCTCAAGTGCTGCCAGACCTGCTGAGTTTTGGTAGCAATCCCTGTTTTAGTTTCAGGTCTCCAACATACACAGTTCTTTCTTTTATGTTTGACAAATTTAACAGAATTTTTTGGGACATTACTAATACAGTCAGTAAGGGAAACCGGTGTATGTGATTTATTTGGATTTTCTGAAGGCTTTTGATGAAATTCTACACAAGAAATTAGTAAACAAAATTAAAGTGTGTGGGACTGAGGATAATATACTAGCATGGATTAAGGATTGGTTAACAGGCAGAAAGGGGAATCTAGGAAAAAAAATGGATCTATCCCACATTATTAGGTTTTGACCAATAGAATATCATATGGAATAGTGCATGGGCTCCAGCTATTCACAATCCATACCAATAGCTTGGATGTGGGGACCAACTGTAATATTTCCAATGAGAGCATGTAAGAAGAATGGAGAACAGATATCATGCGGTCAGTTTCTGAAATCACTGAACTCAAGTGTTGAGAGCTTCAGGCCTTGGAGTGCCTAAGCAGAAAATAAGGTGTTGCTCCTTTGGAACATTGCAGTAAATCCATGCAGCAATGTTAGCATGAGACAAGGACGTTTCTGAAATGGTGAGCAACTGAGAGGTCATTCTTATGAACAGAATAGTCATGTTCTGCAAAATGGGCACTCAATCTGCATTTGGTCACGCCAAAATAAAGGAGACTTCATTGCTGGAGCCATGTCTAGGCCAAGCCAGGTAAAGATGGCAGATTTCCCTCCCTAAAAGTGAACCAGGTGGATTTTTATGAGAATCAACAGTGGTGAGGCTAGTTTTCCAGATTTTTACTGAATTCAAACTGCACCACCTGCCATAGTGGAATTTGGACTCACTGTTATAGACCAGACCAAAACACTCAAAGTATATCAAGGAGATAGCCTAGACCCTAATTTTTGTCTTATTTAAAGGCAAGTGTAAGGTGCTATATTCCAGATGTGACTTGATTGGTTAAACTAACAGGCTTTAAATAAAACACACTTTATTCTTTAAACACACTTAAAATACAAACAAAAAAGAATTGGCTTAACTTTAACTCTATCAAAATACTTAACAGTAATGTATATTTTAACTATTACTCATCAACGGTTCCCAAATAGCAGCATCTTATAAACAGACCTTTGCTAAAGGCAAATTCAGCAAAACAGATTTCCATCTCTTGCCAACTCCTCCAGTCCAAGAGAAGGAACACCAAAAGAATAAATCTAGCAGCGGAGACAGAACTCGAGCTTTTTTGCAGCAGCAGAGACAGCTATATCTAGCAGCTTCAACTCCAAAAAACTTCACTTCAACAACTGAAAGCAAAACTAAAACCTTGGGTTTGTGTGAACCTGACTCCATCCACTCTCTGTTGCTTTTGTTCAGATGAGGCCAACTTCAACAAGGGAGCCTCCGAAATGTCCATCTTCTTCCTCAACTGAGGATTCCCCAGCACCATTGTCGACAGGGCCCTCAACTGGGTCTAACCCATCTCCCACACTTCCATCCTCACCCCCTCTCTTCCCTCCCACAACAGCGATAGAGTTCTCCTTGTCCTTATCTACCATCCCACGAGCATCCACATCTAGAAGATCATCAGGTGCCATTTCCACCACCTCCAACGAGATGCCACCACCAGACAGCTATTCCCCTCCCCTCGCCTGTCCGCCTTCTGCAGGGACCATTCCTTCCGGGACACCCTGGTCCACTCTTCCTTTATTCCCAACACACCCACAGCACCTTCCCCCGCAACCTGCCCATTTACTTTCCCCCTCCCCAGTATCTAACGGCCCAAACATTCCTTCCAAGTGAAACAATAATTCTCCTACACTTCCTAGAATCCAGTCTACTGCATTTGCTGCTCAAAATGTGGCCTTCTCTACACTGCGGAAAATGACACATAGACTAGGTGACCGCTTCGCAAAACTTCTGCATTCTGCTCACAAAAAAGACCCTGAGCGTCCAATTGCCTGCTGGTTTAACACACCACCCTATTCCCGGGCCAACATCTCTGTCTCAGGCTTGCTGCAGTGTTCGAGCAAAGCTCAGCGCAAGCTGGAAGAACATCACCTCATTTTCTGCTTGGGGACCCTGCTGCCCTCTGGACTCAATATCGAGTTCAATAACTTTACAGCCTAAACTCTCCCCTGTATTAGTCCCCTAGCCCACACACCGCACCTTGCCATCACACAGCCTGCCATTACATACTACCTATCGTTAGTCACTAACAGTCCCTATTAACAGCTATTCACCCTCCTAGCCAGATCGTTATCAACTCCTTTGTCTGTCCAACTGCTCTTCCCTCTCTTTGGGCTCTATCCCCACCTATCATTTACTCCCTACCCCCACCCCCTCCATATCTTCTGCATATAAACCAACATTTTCTTAGCTATGATCAATTCTGAAGAAGGGTCACCAGACCCGAACATTAACTCTGATTTTTTTCTCCACAAATGCTGCCAGACCCGCTGAGATTTTCCAACAACTTCTGTTTTTGTTCCTGATTTACAGCATCCACAGTTCTTTCAGTTTTTATTTAGTATTCCACCCACTCCTGCTTCTTTTGTCTAATGTTTTAAAAAGAAAGATGTTTACTCTGCTTTCCATGGAGCAGACACGTCAGCACCAGGTTTACAACACCCTTCTTCAAGAGACACATACAGAACAAATCCTGCTTAAAGGCATATATTGTCACACCAGATCCCCAGAACATTTGCCTGGTTACTGAACTACTAGTCCAGTGATGTTCCCACGATATGTATATCCTTTACCAAGCAAAATTTACAGCACTTATTTTTATGGGAC